GAACATATCACAGGCTGATCAAATCCATGGGAAGTGAGAACAGTTCTGTGCTCTGGCCTCTCATGGTGGTGACAGCTCTTGGTCTCCTTCCAACACGGTGTCTTCCAAGAACTGCAGAATGATGAGACTCTCCCCTCCCCAGCACTCAGACACCAGCCCTAAATCTCCCTGGTGTTCTCACCGCCCTGTCTGGTCACACTTCCAGGGGTGACGAGCCGTTGGCACACCAAGAAGCTCCCGAGGAAGACACACAAGGGCTTACGCAAAGTTGCCTGCATCGGAGCCTGGCACCCGGCTCGGGTTGGCTACTCCATTGCTCGGGCTGGCCAGAAGGGCTACCACCACCGCACAGAGCTCAACAAGAAGGTACGGCCCAGGTGGGCTCCCTCAGAGCACCGCTGCACCTTCCTGCCTGCCTTCCTCCCATGCTGTCACCATTGTCTGCACCGTGGCCTCTCTTTCTCCCGGCTTCTCAGATGTTTCCCTAGAGATCTGCAGTGCTGTTGTTCCCTGTGCCTTTCCCTGTTGTTCCCTGTTCCCTTGTTCCCTGCTCAGGGGACGCATCACATCTTGGTGAAAACTGCATCGTCCCTGTGACATCCCTCACTGGGTGGGTGGGGAAGTTGTGATCTCAATTTCCTTTCTGTTCCTAGATTTACCGCGTTGGCCATGGGATCCACGTGGAGGATGGCAAAGTGGTGAAGAACAATGCCTCGACGCACTACGATGTCACGGAGAAGACCATTACGCCTCTGGTAAGGGCTGAGGGGGTAACAGGGCTGTGGCTGGCCTTGGCTACAGAAATCATAGAATCATAGAATTGTTTAGGTTGGAAAAGACCTTCAAGATCATCCAGTCCAACCATTAACCTACACTACCAAGTCCACGCTAAATCCTAGCCAGGGAAGTAATTCCTTGGCTGGAGACAGCTGCAGAAGGAATTATTTGAAGGAAATTCACTGAAAGAAATGCAGTGATTCCTTTCCTCGTGTTTTGGACATGGAAAACCATCTCTGTGAGGTGTTTTTTTAGGCCCATTGGTAGACCCAAACATACAATTTTCAGCTGATAACTTGGGCAGGAACCGAGAACTTTGTTTAAAAAGAAAAAGAAGTATACATTACATTAAAAATTTGATACTTAACAGATAAATGTTTGTTGCGTGGTTTCAGAATTCTCTTTTGCTTATTAAAAACTGTTAACGTGGGAGTCTAGCCAGCTGTTCACCAGCATCCTTCAGGGAAGGCAGCAGGGTTGCTGGTTCTCCAGCTCTTACGGGGTGCTGCTTAGCTGGGCTCATGCAGGCAGCGGGGCTGACATGCTCCGATGGTCCTGAGCAGGCAACCTGAAGGGTGCAGAGTGGTGTTAGCTGGAAGGACTGTCAGTCACTACCTTCTCCTTCCTTAGAAAATGCCACCTGGTGACACGTCCGCTCCCGCCCAGCTCTCCTGCCTGCCAACCCTCTCTCTGCCTCTCCCCACAGGGTGGCTTTCCTCACTACGGGGAGGTCAACAATGACTTCCTCATGCTGAAAGGCTGCGTCGTGGGCACGAAGAAGCGTGTGCTCACCCTCCGTAAGGTGAGAGCGCAGCCGGCGCTGCGGAGGGACGGGCTGTAGCTCTCCATGAACAGATTCTCCATGTGGAGAACGCTACTGCCTCCAAATCATAGAATAGAATCCTAGAATCGTTGAGGTTGGAAAAGACCTTTAAGATCATCCAGTCCAACCATTAACCTAACACTACCAAGTCATGCTGGGCAGGGAGACTGGTCGGGTCCTTGATGCTGTGTTGCAGAGGGCACATGGTGCAGTGAGACCGTTCGTGGCTGGATGGTTTGTGGCAGCGTGCACTCGGATGTACTCTCTCTGGAGATGGAAGCTGCAAGCCTTTGAGGGCTGTGATGGGGGGGGACAGAGACGGAAACCTTGGCCATAAACAGATTGTGAGCACATGTAATGCTAAGTGAAGAGCAGGCTCATTTCTGAGCTGCTCTGCAATCCAAGGTGTCACCTGCCACGTGAGCACCAGGGTGTTTCTCTGAGAAGGCAGATTTTCATGGAGATATTTGTCTAATGGATGCACCTTGGATATTTCAGCCCTGCTTCCATCAGGGCAGACATCCAGATTTTCTGTAACGATAAGCCTGATGCATTGCGACTCTTCTTTTCCAGTCCCTTCTGGTGCATACAAGCCGCCGGGCTCAGGAAGCCATTGAACTCAAATTCATTGATACCACTTCCAAGTTCGGCCATGGGTGCTTCCAGACAGCTCAGGAGAAGCGGGCTTTCATGGTGAGTTACACTCTGTGCCAGCTCCAGCTCCCAGGCCAGGCTCGCAGCTCAGGCTAAAGCAACTGATTGACTCCAGCCAAGCATCCACTTCTTGATACAACAACAGCCAAACGAGTGATCGGGACCGTCTTGCATAAACAGGCATGAATTCAATTCACACAGCAGATATTATGCTAAGGAAGAACATGATGGTTGTGTGAGTGATCCAAGACAACCCAACTAGCAAATAATATACCATATGGCCAACCAGTTTCCATTCACCACGGGATGTTTTAAACAAGCAGTTAACTTGGCAGGCGCTGCCTTGGACATATGGTCCCTTTCACCCGTAATTGTGCACTTCTTTGATTTGTTTGGAATGATTTATGACTTTAATGTTCTTAAGGGGAAAAGGTTGGGTCAAATTCAGACACAAATTTGCAATTCTTTTGTCAGGAAGCTTTCAGAAAGGCCAAGCAGTGTATTTTTCTTAAATCCAGGGGGGAAAAAAAAATGTAAATAAATCCAAAACAAGCAGAGTTTCTTGAATAGTTTTGCAACCTACACCAGGCTGGTGCATGAATCTGAATGTGAAATTGAGGAAGCGTTAAGTAAGCCAGGCCTTCAGCTAGCAGAAATGAAAGAAACAACTGCCTGGATACCACGCAGACATAAACCGTGTCTGGATCTGGCCTGTCAGCTAGAAATCCCATGCGAAACCGGCTAAGCCTCCTTAGCCCCGGGAAGGGGGATTGGCTATGCCTTTGCAGAGCTCTTTAGAGGTTAAGCTGTTTTCCCTTATCTCAGCGTTAGGAGGTTGGTCTGTGTTCTGCTCTTGCTGTTGCTGCAAATCCCGAGTAGCTGTGACGTGGAACTTAGTGACAGGAGGTGGTTTTACCCGGTTGCAGATCTTTTCTTTGCCATTTTCTACTGTGGGGTCAGAGTTTCCCCCATATATAATGTGGTAAAACCTTACATTTGGCTGGAAGTAGAGGCACATAAGTAATTCTTGCCATCTGCTCCTATAGGACTTACTTGCTCCGGGACAACCCCATTTCTTAGCTGGTGGAAACCCCTCAGACTCTGTTGAGTTGGCTGATGAGAATCTGTGCCTTTGGCTGCGGGAAGCCTTGCCTCCAGGGCTTGTACACCAGCTCGGCAGCTGCTCCACCGTGCTGGGCTCCTGGTAGCATTCATCAGCATGATTACCACTCCCCTCCGCATCCCCTGACCGCAGGCTGTCCCGCCTGGCTCGGAGCAGGTTGCTCATTGCCGCTCTCTGGCTGCTTTTGTGCTGTCCAGAGAAACAAACCCTTTGTGCAAGGGCAATGATGTTCTGCTCCTGGCTCTTGCGGGGCTAGGGAGGCCCCGGGGGGGCTGGTGAACAGCGGCACAGAGCTCCTGGCCGGAGAGCAGAGATCAGGAGCAGCCTTGCATGGCAGAAAGGGGCCAGAGCTGCAGTTCTGCTCCACGCAGCTCAGATGCAGCCTTGTAGGCCAGGATTATCTGCCACTAACACTGAGAGCTCTCCTCTCTGCTCTCTTCCAGGGCCCTCAGAAGAAACACCTGGTGAAAGGGAAGCCAGGAGTGCAGGAAGAGCTGTAAGGAGTGAGATGTGCAAGGCTACCTAACTGGGCACCTTCAATAAAGAGGCTTCAAGCCATGCCTGCTGCCTGTCTTCCTTCTGGAGGGGTGTCTTGCCTGTCTTCAGTGCTGCCTGCGGGCAGCAGCGTGTGCTCGAGGTTCCTCAGCAGGCGCGGATGGGACAAGTAGCGCTTGGGACAGGCCCATATGGCCACGAATGAACCAGGACAGCCAAGTGTCCTCTCTGTCCTCTGGATCCTCCCTTTCCCTTGCTCAGTGAATTTTTTCCCCACTGCCTGCATTCACCCAAACCACAGTGAAGACTCCCCTTCCTCTTCCAGAGGAGAGCAGAGCAGGTACCAGCACTTCTGCCCCAGTTTCTGCTGGGAATACAGGGCCTCCCCCTTGCCTGCCTCTGCCCAGCCTCACTGACCATCTCTCCCCTCACCTCCTCTCACACACGTGCACCCAAGCACTCCTTTTGCTGAGCTGAAAGTGTGACCCAGGGACTTCTCTCTGCGCAAAGCCCCACGATCCCGGCCGGCATCCTCAGCAGATGTGGGAACTTGTGTACAATAAGATGGCTGCTAGGTAAGACTGGGCAGTGATGGATTTATTCACATTTTAGACTAATTTCCCACCCATGTTTTCCTTGCAGTCCAGCTGCCTGCAGGGAGGGTGTGATGTGCCTCGGAGCTGCGATGTCTTGGATCAGCGGTGATCATAACTCCTTCCGTGCAGAACTGGGCTGGGCGTCCTGCACCCTCTTTGGGAACCAGACAGTGGAAAGCCCAGCCCACCGCTTGTCCAGAGCTGCCCCCTTGACCAGGAGTCCTGGCAGGAGGTGCGCAAAGTTCTTGGGTCTCCAGCAAACCCCTTGCCCTGGGTCTGGTTCTGCTCTGAGCGTGTGCTTGCGGGATTTAAGGAGGAGGCTCATCTACAAAAGAGCTGAGGATGAGATGAACTGAGAAGCTCAGACCGCACGGCATCGCCCTGCCTGGCTCTGTGGCTGGCTCCGTGTCCCAGCGAGGTCCCTGAGCAACATGCAGCGTCTCTGCCCTGCCCGTGGGGCTGCGCTTCAGAGCCGCTTCTCTCCCTTGGCTGGCAGGTCCCCGGGCAGTGCCCCCGCGGCTGGCTGAGGCTCCAGGCCAGAGCGCATGATGGGAATGATGAGATCGTCCATGTTTGGCATCACCAAAATTTTCTGAAAAGAGGAATCCAGAATAACAAGTAAGTGGTTTTGAATACCACTACCTGACGGGAGGTGGCCTTGGCAGGAGCCACGCTCGGGACAGAGACCAGGGCTGTGAACAGAAGGTGCTGGGCTCCCGTCCCCTCGTCAGCAGGTGACCGTGCCTGGCCCTAGAGGATTACCAGCTCTGGATGTATCTCAGGGTGGGGACAAGCAGGAGCGGTTTTATTTTGCCCTGCTTACCTGTATGTATGGCTTCGAGGGTGGTCATGGCAGAGGGCAGGGACCAGCACTTTGAAGCCATTCAAACAGGCACCTCTCTGCAGGGATTTGGGTACCTAAATCTCTGTGGGGACATTTCTGCTCTTTGACCAGAGGTCTCAAAGGCGAGAGGCTGAAAACAAACCAGCGGGTACCTTGTGATGGTGAATCTCCCAAACTTGCTGACACTCCTGCTTGGGGCAGGGCTGCACACACTGGGAGGAAACCGCTTTTCCTCAAGCACTCCAGCGCTCAGAGCACCAGCCCTCGGAGCTGGTTACTTAGGTTGTGTTTCCTGACTGTCCAAAGCTGGACAGACCAGATCAGATGTTGGCTTTTCATAGAGATAACCCTAGCCCAAACTGGGGTCTGATTATCCCCGATTGCAGCAATGCCCATGCTTCAGCAGGGTTTGCTGAGCCCTTTAACAGACCAGGCACCTGAAATTCGTGCTGCAGCTTCTTCTCGATCCACTCGGTGACATGGAGGAAGGTCACCTCCCGCTCGCCCAGCTTTGGGCGCACCTTCAGCTCCAGCTGCGGTGGGACTCGGAAGCTGTACCTGCGAGAAGAAAGGAAAGAGGCAGAAAGCATCACATCCCGAACATGCGGCACAGCCCGTGTGGCCCCACTGCTAGGATTTAAGGACCTGGGAGGAGGTGGATGGGTTGCCGCGGGAGCTCTGGGCCCCCAGATCCTGCCTTGGCCAGGGTGGAGACTCGGAGAAATGAGTCTGAGGTCTGTGAGTCCCTTTGGGAGAACAGCCCTGGCTTGGTGATGCCCCAGATGAACCCGAAGCCCCAGAGCTGGCTCCTTGGCCGAGCCGCAGGGAGCAGGGGGAGCTGGATGGAGGGTGCACGCGTGTCCCCGCGTGGGAGGAAGGGGAGCTGGTACCAGACACGGTCCGTCGGTGGTGGGGGGATGTTCACGGCCAAGGTGCCTGCCAGCTCCTGCACCTCCACCGTCAGCAGCAGCGGCGTGTTGGAAACCTCCTCGATCTTCTTTTTGATGAACTCGTTTTCAGTGGCCTTCTGGAAGTACTTGGACTTGGCGATCTTATCCACGAAGCGCAGGATCTTCCGGCTCGTGCTGTTGCCGCTGACGTGGCTAAAACGGGTAGATGTGGCACTTGGGGACATGGTTTAGTCTAGTCTACCCTTAATTG